TCTTCCTGGAAGACTGGCTTGCTTTTTCTTTCCTGATGTCCCTCCCTCTTTCTCAGATGGTTTGCACCAACTGTCCCCCACGGGTGTAATTCCCCCTGGGCACAGCTCGGGATTCTGCGAGGACAACCCTTGTGCCTGTTTACTTATCTTTCAGGGAGAGTGGGCTGATCATGGCTTATCCTGGTCCCAGTAAGCTCATGAGGGTCTGGCATGTAGGTCTTCTTTGGGAATCCCTCCCCTCTCTCCCCGCAGCATTTTATAATATTTCCTGCACCAGGGATGCCAAACGCCAAGCTATTCTTGGCGTCTTCTTTTTAAACTGCTCACTTCCCTCTGTGGACCAACTGGGGCCCATTTCCCGGAGTATGTGTCCTTGTGCTCCCGGGACTGCCAGCAGCTGTTTCACGCCCCCCAAGCACCTGAGATGCACTGCTCATCTGGGCCCGAACGGGTGAGTTCCTGGCCAGCATGGCCAGTCCTGTAGGAGCATAGCAGGGGCTGGGACCCTGTCCTTGCCACACATGGTAAGGTATATAATCTAAATAAAAAGCACAGGAGGGAATTTCCCTTCAAAGGGATTGGCAATGCAGACATCACTTCCAGTCTACTTTTTGCTATTAAAATGGCTTGTTTTAAAGTGTGTGTCATGTTGAACATGGTTTCAAATTTTCCAGTTTTTCAGAGGTTGGAGTTGTGGTATTATTTTAACTCTGCATAATAGGGATTATGTTTATGTCTAAGTTTGTAAAGAAATTCTGGAGGTTTGCTGGAATATGTTCTTGTTGTGGCGTTTCCTTTTTTTACGTGGTTTTGCATTATATTACAGGCTCCTCTTATGGAACTCATAAACCAGACTGAAGAAGAAATCAGACAAGCTACCCACCGGAAAATGGGTTTGGAAGATACTTTAGAACAGGTGCATCGTGTATACTTTTTACAGTGGTTCTCAACTTTTTTAGACTTGGGGGTACCCTTTGGAAAGTGCCAGCTCTTGGTTTTCACCTTTTTTTTGGTGAACTGAAAAATAAGAGTAGTTGTTCTGTTACTCTTATTAACTTGGACCACACCAGGGCACAATGTTTTTCATACTGTGGATTTCTATTTGAAATATGTGTTTATCATGAGTCCTTTTTGCACACCTAACAGTATTAACATTACACGGTACCCTTGAAAGGATCTTAAAGTACCCTAGCATGTTGTATCATTCTGCAGAATCATTGGCTTATGGCATCTTGAAATTTCAGCATTAAATTTAAACAGTCTACACTTAGTGACAGACTAATAAAAGCATTTTATGGGATCAGGGCTGTCCAGCTTCTGTGGGCTGTCAGTTGTTGGACAGCCTACAGGTGATGATGGATAACTTTTTTAATTTTTTTAAAGTAAAATGGGCTGTCCCACACTCCTCACTAGCGTAAAGTCACTGATTTGTTTAACATCTCTACATTTCGAAGCAGAATTAAGTCCAGGAAGGATTTGAAAGAGAACAATGGATTAGACTAGGAAAAGTATTGCAAGCTTGGGAGCAGTGTAGGAAAAAACTGCAGGTATATCTGGGTAAAACTGAGAAAAGGATCAATTGCCTTTTGACCTTTCTGAGAGAAACAACATATTGCTGAGTGTACTGTTACTACAGGTTCTTTAAGTTTATTTATTATTAGTTCTTTGTACATGAAAAGTTTTGATCTAATTTTTTTGCATACTAAACTATCCATTCCATTTCTAGTAAATAAATAGATAGTAAGAATATTCAGAGTTATTGTAGACATCTTGAATGCAGTTTGAAACATTTCAGTTGTCACTTTTTTTGAAAATATGGATTTGTGTAATTAATAAGACTTTTTAAGGTCTTGTTGGACTTCTTGGATAATCTGTGTGGGTAGGTAGCAAGTTTATTCTAATCTCATTTTCTTCAGGGACATTCTTATCTTCTCTGTTAGTGGAGATTATTTTTGCCTATGAAAACACAGTTAGAGATTTATGAGCTTTAAATTTCCTTGTATTAAATATGTAAAAATGTTCAGATTCTACATGGCAGTCGGGAATCTACGAATATCCAGACTGGTGCTATCTTCTGTAGCACCGAAACATTTTTTCTGTCTTTACTGTTGCAAAAACAAACTGGCTTCACTTATTTCACAATTGTTAATACAATATAACCTCATAAATCCAGAACTCTTAACAATCCAGCACATCAGGGAGTAGCAGAAGCTGGGGGAAGCCGGAAGCAGCAGAGGGGGAAGCAGCAGCTGGTCCTGGAGCAACAGGAGAGAAAGCTTGCACATGGTGGCTGCTGCCGCCATCCAGCACTGCACACCATTGCTCTGCATGCGACTGCTGCTCCGGGACTTGCTGCCACTACTCCCCCCAGCTCTGTGACCAACCACCACTCCGGTTTCAAAATCCAAATTTTCAGATTTCGGGCAAGTGCTCAGTCCCAAGCATGCCAGATTTATGAAGTTATACAGTGTGAGCAAATTGCAAAACATGCCAGTCTCAAAAAAGGAGCAGTGGGGGGCTTTAATGGATATTAAGAAAGGACTCTTCAGTCTCATCAGCTATCTGACTAAGAATGAGGCAGCAAATGCATGAAGCTTGTTAGGCACCTGTTTTGGTTAACAAAAGACTACTGTATATAACATTTAGCTTTGAGTTCAGTCAACTTGGGGTAAGGATAAATGTAGTGGCTTCAAAAGGGGGAGGAAAAGCTGCCACTTGAGCTCACAGCAGCTTTATGCTGTAGCTGTTGTGTGATCCTGTAGTGATGCAAGTAGGGTATGTTGCTCCACCTCAAACCTGCATATGAAGCAGTCTTGTTAGTTTTTGGAGGGTTTTGACTACATTTTATACTTCCAGGTGAACACGATGGTTGTGGAAAAGAAAAGCAGTGTAAAAGTATTGAAGGAAGAAGCACAAAAGCTGGATGACCTTTATCATCAAAAACTTATGGTAAGCATTATTTTTATAAAGCAAATATGTTAAAGATTTTTTGCACTGACAATCTACATTCTGGGTGACCTTTTGAGCTGTAGTACTGCTACACCCATAAGAAAACTAGGACATAATTGAGAGTAAGCACTCGAGAGCCTTGATCTAACATTCAGTAGGGCAGTTTGTTGCCAGCCTAAACCATTTTCAAGGGACCTAGGCCAAGCTGCAGAAGCATGGCTAAGCAGAAGACCCCCCAAGCTGTGACCACTAGCTTGGTCAGCAGAGTAGAGGAAGCCATCCATATGTTTAGCTAACACAGCAATGAGATGCAACTATACAAAGCACAAGGCCTGAAAGGAAACGTAAGGGAAGACCATATGTTAAAGAATCCAAATACGCTATATCATAGCTCAAAATAGTAGTAGTAGTGATTGCTGTGACCAAATGTATCGGATGTTATTTTGCTATAATATAGAGAGAGTTTTGCTGAAATCATTTGTAAAAACAAAACAGCCTTGTCAGAAAAGACAGTAAACTAAGGTAAAGAAGAAACAGGACAATGTTGAACAGCATTCCACAATTGGAAAGTTGAAAGGAAATAGAGAAACCCTGCCTTTTACTTTCCCAAGCACATTAATCCCAACTAGTTGATACCTTCCAAGTCCACAAGAGATCTGGTTCAGTCCAGTTCCAAAAGTTTCAGTGAAACAACAAACTTTAATAAAACTCATTTATTAGAATCGGCCATCTATAAATGAGGTGTAGACTAGGGGGAAATTTGGAGAATTTGGCAAATTCAAGACCTGCTGCTAGTCTGTGTTTTACACTCCTCCCACCTCTCGCGTCCCCGGCTGATATAGGTGAAGATCTGTTGTGGTGTCATGTGTAGCCAGACTTTGGGACAAATAGGGGTTTGGGAGTTTTGAAGTGAAAGCAAATAAAAGGTGAGGGTGTATAGACGTGTTCGTCTTTTTATCAGTAGCCAACCCACAAGGTTACCTATAATCTAGGTAACAAGCTCCAATTCCCATTTTCCATTATGCTTCAGTACCACTTTGTATATCACTTATGCATATGTTGACTATTATAGCATTACCAGTGGTGTTATGGTTCATGGTGGAGGGGCTTCATGGTTAAATTTCTCTTTCGAATAAGAGTGCCCCTTCCACTGGCTACTGACTTATCCTCCTAACATCATCTTTGCCGTTTGGGAGCCTATGGCATTCTGTAGCAAGCCTTCCTCTGTCTATTATTGTTCTGAGAACTACTTTGACACTGATAAGAAAAAAATGATTTTTCAAATAAGTTAGTGTTAACACTAGAAATGAGAGGTTCTGCATGACTTGCTAATTGGTGAACTGCTTAGGTTGCTGAAGGCTATTGAACTAGTCTGTTGGCACAAATGCATGTGAAACTTGGCTGCTGATATAAACTGTGCATATTCCATGCTATTCAGTAAAATACCCAGCAGCTGCAAGGCTGGTTATAATAAGACTTAATTCATATAGCCCTTCTATATACTCTATGCAACGTTAAAGAGATGTTATCAATTTCCACCAGCTTTTTTTTTTTTTTTTTTTTGAGCAAAGGTCTTCTAACGCTTCTAAACTTAAAAGATTATAAATCAGTTTGGTTAATTTTTGTGGGTTTGCCAGCACTATGCATCTTGCCAGTTTGAGTCTTCCTGAATACAGTTATTTGGTAACATCCCTTATTGGACCATCGACATTATGACCCTACTGAATATAGAAAGTCATTCTGTAGAAAAGTGAAAGACTTTTTAAAAATTAAATTTATGGTTTAAAAATTGGTAGAAATATTCCAATTATAAGAAGGGTAAATAAATTCCAAATAACTTAAATGGGTGATGGTAACAGACTTGGAACATCTGGCACGTTGAAAGGGAGATTTGCAGGAACGTAAGCTTAGAAAGGTGAAGTGCAGGTAATACTCAGTACTACAACAGAACCCTGCAAATGGTTTTTATTTTTTCTACCACACCAAATGCATTTTGGAATAACGAGTATGTATGATTTAATAATTTTCCTGTAAGTGTCAGTCATAAATTGAAAACATTGTTCAGTCTCTTAGGGCAATATTTCTGTTTTTCCTTCTAATCTCTCATCTGCTGTTTATTTCAGGAAGCTGAAGAAGAGGAGAAAAAATGTGCAAATGAGCTGGAATTGTTAGAGAAGCATAAACACTTACTTGAGAGTGGAGTCAATGAAGGTTTTAGTGAAGCCATGAATGAGCTTCATGATGTTCAGCGGCAGTAAGTCTAATGACTTCTTGATCTGGCTTTCAAGATTTATTGGGTAGGTCAGGGATTGGCAACACTTTCCAATGGGATAGGGCTGGAATGACCCTGCTCAGGTCAGAGGCAGGTGCACATTAATACCCAGCTGCTGTCACTTGGTGCATGGCACAGTGAAAGCCCCCTTCTGCTTAAACCAGTGCCAGCAGACTGGCAGAGCTCCCCCTCTGCTGGAGTCCCAGACAGCTGGCTGCAACACAGCACAGGGAGGAGCCCCTACTGCCGAAACCATGGTTCTGAGGGCCAGATTCAAAGGTTTTGAGCCATAGGTTGCTGACCCCTGGGATAGGTTGTGTGTTAAGTTCTAACACATCTAGCTTCTTATAAAATTTCTCAAATTGGACAGTGAACAGGTACCAAATTTTTTCTTTTTTTTTTGAGCTACACTTGATATCATTTCTGCAAACTTAAAGCTTTAGAGTGTTTTTCATTGATTGATAAATATTCTGTAAAACACTTACTGTTTGCTCTATAGACATGCTTATTCTATTTCCAAGCACTTTCAGAACATGTATCTGTTTCTAGTAGAGTAGGGAAGTCAAACTCCATTTGGCCCCTTGGCCTTATATTTGACACTGCTGTAGTAGAGTTTGAGGATCCAGCAGAGGCCCATTTGAGTTCCATACTACAAGTACAAAAAATCAGGAAGGTTATACTTTGATATAATTATCTTCATATCTCATTTTTCTAGTGATCCTTTATTCTTAATTGACCAGATTAATGGTCATTATTTTGCAAATGTATGTACTAAACAAGTTTCAATCCAATTTGAAATGAATTATACTATGAAAGCTTTCCAGTAAGCTTCCTATCCTTTAACCATAGCAAAGTGACTGTGCTGTTTAACTTTAGATACCAGGTTGTTATGCAGACAACAACAGAAGAGAGCAGAAAAGTGGGTGATAACTTGAACCGCCTCTTGGAAGTAATTACAACTCATTTAGTATCAGTGGAGGTATGTCATAATTGCTACTGTTTTACAATGAAATCCTTCTGCATATGACACTTTTTTTTTTTTTTAAAGATAGCTACATCTATATCAAATGCATATGTATTAGAATTTTTAAATACCGAACAGTACTTGTAGTCAGGCTAACCAGAACTTTGGGAGCTTTGATAAGAAGGTTGTTTAGTACAGATCAAAGACAACAGTTGAGTATGTAATAGTAATATCTTGTCAGGTTTGGTTTTCTACCTTCTAAATCTTCTGCAAGAACAAGGTGGTTTAAAACACTTCAGTGCTAGAAAGTGACATTCAAACATGTGCAACTGAAGATCCCTAAATTTAAGCAGAGGCCATGGTTACATTGCTGAAACTGTAACTAATTTACTGTAACTCCCTTCTAGAAATACCTTGGGGAACAGAAAGCAAAAGTTGATAGAGACTTTGAAGAATTCGCATCTGAAAATCTGTTGGCAAACTTGAGAGAGATCCTAGACAACTATAGGAAGAAGGCTGATGATGCTCTGTAATTCTCAAAAGGAGAAAAGTGAACTTTTTTGTGCAGTGGAGCTCTAGAGGCATCTATCTTTGAACATGAGCATTGCCTGTCAACTTCATTTTGTCATCTGTATCGGTGTTAATATTTTTAGGGACATTTTTAAACCTTAGTTTCTATTTTAGTTTTTAATCTATGCATAATTCTGTAAGCCATTAATAAAATTGTATGAAGTTTCAGTTCAGTCTTTGTCAATTTATGCTACTGTACAGGTGCCTGTGTAAAGACATGATCCTTGGAATTTACTTTTGATTTCTATGTAATAATGGATGATATTCAAGTCATTTTGTGTTTCTCTAGGAACAGTCAGTAGAAAGGAGATAACATGCACTTTGCAAAAAGACCCAAAATGCACCTGGAGGTGAGACAAGGAGCTCTAGTAGTAATATAGGGGGCACCACCAACTGGAAAATCTGCCACCTGAGAACTATAAACCTGCTTATGTTGATGAAATAGTAGTAATAATAAGCTTATTATTAGTAATAATGAATGAGAACTTTCTTTCCTCTTTTTAAAGTTTATTTTGCACATATATAACAGTATTTGTGTATAATCAAACTCTTTGTTAATAACATGTATCCTTCCCCCAAGCTCCAGAAAAAAAAAAAAAAAGTTGGGAGGGGGTGTCCTAGTAGTAACAATAGAATCAAATATGAACAGAAAGTGGGCTAGAGAAGAGGAGTGTGTACAAGACCTTTTTCAACATAGTTTAGATTTTTTTTCTGATACTTATCTATTTTTAGGGAACTTTAAAATCTGGATATCTCTAAATAGTTTAGAGAAACTGAGGTTAGTCATAGTAAAGTACAGCTAGAAGGAGTCAAGATGGCTGCTTTAAGTGCCTGTGCTTTCAAAAGAAATACTAATCTTGCTCCCCAAATATGTCTGCACCAGAGAGAGCTTATAGACAAAGCAATTTATCATCTCTGGTACCGTGAGCGGTTGTGCTGATTCAGCTAATGTTGGCTGTGCTACAATGAGAGAGAAGGGGAGAGAGTGCTTAAGAGGGCATCAACTGTCAGACTCAAAGGGTAAAGGTAAGCTTATCAGGGCTTCTGCTTAACAGCCAATGACTTGAGAGCTCTCTGTCTCCAGAAGCCCTGATAAGCCTACCTCCACTAAAAGACCTGAAATGTCCGTAAAGAAAAAAATGACTCGGTAAACAGGATTAAGTGGATTCTTCCCTCTTTGTTAGAACAGTGAACTATTATATTCTTAGATTCCTAAACTTCCATTTCACACTCCAGTAACTTCTATTGACTGTTATACCAAGGCTTTTTTGATAATCTGACAAATTCTTCTGTTCCCTCTTACAATGTCCTTTGATGCTCCTCTTCATTCTTGCCTTTTTTCAGGCTGTTTTGATTTTGAATTGTCACCTTCTTCTTGGTTGCCAAGCAAACTCTTACCTCAGAATGATTCTTCAGGCTAGTTTTCAATTACTTACATGACAGAGTACACTCATGTACACCTAGTTATACAGGGGCAATAAACAAATGCATAAATCTTGATATTACCTCTTTCCTTTTAAAATAAAAGTTGTCGTCTTTCATTGGTTCCTGGTATCAGTCCATCCATGCTTCCCTAACTTGCTTGTCTTTTATATGTTCTGCTTAAGTTGGGGCACAATCTGGAGTTGTTATGCTTCAGAGTATCCAACTGAGTGAGCAAAATTTAAATAAATCTCATTTCAGTGGGACTATGCGTACTGGAAGCAGTAGAAGAACTGTGGCAAAAATTACCTGTTCTTAAGTGTCATGTTAAAGGTATGGCTTGAGGGGGAAGGGGATCAGAGTGGTACCTGTGAAGGACTAATTTGTTACACCTGCCAAAAAAAATTGGCCCTGACCTAGGCTAAGCCACATGACCAATACTGGACCAGATTTTCAGTTGACTTAATAAAGAAAAGAAATCCTGATATAAGTAGTGTATGTATATTAAGGACAATGGGTGTGTATTTGATCTGGGAGTTGTTTAGTCACGAGTAAGCTACTCGTGAATAAATGTTCCCAGGCAGGTGTCTACACATGCAGGGTCTCGGGAGCAGAACTCCTGCTTATGGTAGCAATCTGCTTCTGTCCCCAGTAGTCCATCAACTTCCTGCAGCATTCAGGGGCTGGCAGGGAGCATGGGCCCAGGAGATGGCTGACTCCTGACAGAGCCTGAGACCTTGCTCCCTGCCCCTGGGGAGCTGCCTGATGCTGGGACGGGGAAAATGTTTCCTTGCCCAGGTAGCAGGGTGTTCCTGGCCCTGATGACTCAACTAGGGGCAGAGGACTTGGAAAGAGCTGCAGAGTTGGAGCAGGTCCCACCCCCTGCCCCACCCAGTGCTCTGGGGGAGGATGGAAAAACTGCATAAAAGGCAGCATTGTTTGAACTACCCTGATTTCTGCCTTGGTGTCAGTTGAGTGAGGGTGCACCTTAACATACACACAGGGTCACCCACCCATGTCACGAGTTTTGCCTGTCAGCAGCTAGAGGTGCAGGGCCCCAGAACCCCCCTGCACCCATCTCCTTGACAGCTGGCAGGCTTTGTGGCTGCAGCAGGGCCTAGCAGGCCTGCAGTTTTCACCCCCCTGTTCCCTAAGACAGACAGTCCCACAAGCACCCATGTCATAAGTTTTGCCTGTCAGCAGGCAGAGGTGCAGGGCCCCAGAACACAGAAGCTCCTGCACCTACTTGAAACTTGGCAGGCAGCTTCATGCCCTCAGAAGGAGCTACTATTCCTGCAAGTTTGTTCCAAATCAGGCCAGAAATGAAGTTATAGACTGTTTCGCGCTTCCCCATTATAGCCAATGGGCGAAATGGTTTTGACGAAACAGAACAGCGGTTTCAAACCGAAACAAAATTTGAAACCAAACACTTCCATCGAAACGCAAATCAAAACGGAACGGTGCCATTTCGCACAGCCCTACTGATTACTACCCTTGGAGCCTGACTATCCAGCCAATTTTCTGTCCTCTGTATAGTCCATTAAACCAAACTTGTACTTCCTTAGCTTGCTTGAGAGAGTGTTGTGGGAGATCATATCAAAAACATTGCTAAAGTCACAAGATATATCACAGCCATAGTTCTCCCTATATTCACAGAGCCAATCATCTCATAGAAGGAAATCGGGTTGGTCAGGCATCACTTGCCTTTGGTGAATCCCTGCTGGCTGTTCCTAATCACCATCTTCTCCAGGTGCTTAGAATTGGATTCCTTGAGGACCTGCCCCATGATTTTTCCAGAGACTGAGGTGAAGCTTACCAGTCTGTAGTTACTCAGATGCTCTTTCTTCCCTTTCTTAAAAATAGGTACTATATTTCCATCTTTCAATCATCCAAAATCCTTCCTATTCACCAGGAGTTTTCAAAGATAATGGCCAGCAGTTCTGCAATCGCATTAGCCAACTCCCTCAGCACCCTCAGGTGCATTTCATCTGGCCCCATGGACTTGTCCAGCTTTTCTAAAATATCCCTAACCTGTTCTTTTGCCACTGTTAGCTGATCAGCTCCTCTCTAAACTGTTCTGCTAGCTGCAATAGTCTGGTAGCTGACCTTGGTAGTGAAGACTGAGGTGAAAAGGCATTGAGTACATCAGCCTTTTCCTTATCATCTGTCACTAGGTTGCTTCCCCCATTCAGTAAGGGACCCCCACATGCCCTGATCTTCCTCTTGTTGTTAACATACCTGTACAAATCCTTCATGTTACCCTTCATAGCCCTTGCTAGCTGCAACTCCAGTTGCACTTTGGCCTTCCTGACTTCATCCTTGCATACCCAAGCAATACTCATGTTTCTCCCTAATCATTTGTCCAAGTTTCATCTTGTAAGACTGTTTTTTGTGTTGTAGCTCATTGATAAGTTCCCTGCTAAGCCAAGCTGGTCTTCTGCCATTCTTGCTATTCTTCCTGCACATCAGGAAGGTTCATTTATGCACCCTCAGTAAGGTTTCTTTAAAGTACAACTCTCCTGGACTTCTTTCCCCATCAAACTAGCCTCCCAGGAGATCCTGCCTATCAGTTTCCTGAGGGAGTCAAAATCTGCTTTTCTGAAGTCCAGGGTCCTTACTCTGCTGTCCATGTTGCCAACCACCTTTATGTTCCTCACCAATTCTACCCTGTTTGTGAGCAGCAGGTCAAAAAGAGCATAGCCTCTAGTTGGCCTCTCCAACACTTGTACCAGAAAGTTGTCCGTAACACACTTCAAGAATGTCCTGAATTTCCACTGCTGTATTGCCCTTTCAGTGTAAAATGTTAAGTTGATTGAAGAGAAGCAAGATTTGTTTGGTAATATTTTGTATTAATATATTTGTGTGTGTCTAGTTGGGAGAGATGTTAGACAAGGTTTTAGGCACCAATGCCTTTCCTGGGTGTAGAAAGAAGCAGATACAGCCTAAGTTAAATTGCAGGTAAAACAAAGGATTTTGTTTAACTCCATTTTGTAAATGAAAATAATCACTTAGGGTGCAGATAGGCATAACACTTGAACCTTTCCAAGAATGTCCCTGATTGCAAACTGGTTCACAACTGTCCCGAGTCAGAGATATCTGCATGTACACCAAAGGTTCTAAGAACCAGCACCACATTTTAGGCATTGTGTTGCTCTTAAAATGCCATTATAGGGTGGTAGTGAGTACTCAGTCCACTGCATTCAGTAAGGACCCAGTCTGAATCCTAATATCTACATGGTGATACTCTGACTTGGAGTGCCTAGCTGTGTTGGTAGGGTAGGGTAGGGTGGGGTGGGGTGGGCTGCCTGGACCCTTGCTTCAGGTTTTCTGTGAGCTGGGTGTTCTGGAACTGCCAAGGCTTTTGTGGGCTTTTAAGAGCACTTGCTCACAAGTCACAAGTTACTTAAGTTCCTGGAAATTGACTAGGAGTTTGGTGCATCCTAGGATGATTTGGGTAGAGGCTCCAAGGGCCTACCCAAGGTCTCCATTGGAAGGGAACTGACCAGAACTTTAAATGTCACAAGCAGCTCTGTTCTGAGCCCCCAGCACTCAAAAGCAGGAGTCCAGGCAGCACTCTCCACTGACCACCTCTCACCCCAAATAAGCTTGGGATGCACAAAAACCTAGTCAACTGCCATCATCAGAAGGAAATTGACTAGCTCTGAAAAAGCTGTGGAGAGCTGCCTCAGGGCCCCTAACCACGGAAAATGAAGTCAAGTGCAGGAAACAGAGGATGGGGCACCGAAGTTATGGCTGCATGCAAAAGCAGCCAGTGGTTGGGTGGGAGTTGGGGTGCAAGGGTGGGAGCAGTGTAATGTGGGATGTCTGCAGGACCAATCAGGCACTAATCACAGAAAGCCTGCATATAACACTCAGCCACTTTTACGGTCTCCCATGGCTTTGCATCAGGTTCTGCTGGCTTTAATTCATTCAGACCCATCAAAAACCTCTCGGTTTCCTTTAACTCATCCCTTAGCTTGTTCCCTTCCTTATCCAAATAATCTTTATTAACTGGGGGGGGGGGGGGGATCGGGGGGGGGGGGGGTGTAGGCCGAGGCAAGACAACTATTCAGAAGCTCTGCCTTCTTTGCATCTTCTGTTAAGAGCACGCCCTGGCTATTCAACAGTGGACCTTTAGTTTTCTTAGGTCTTTCTTTCTGGGCAACTTATTTATAGAACATATTCATAGATTCATAAACGCTTGGGTCAGAAGGGACCTTAGCAGATCATTGAGTCTGACCCCCTGCCCTGGGCAAGAAAGAGCTCGGGGTCAAACTTCTTCTTGTCTTTAACTTCCCCTACCAAATGAAACTCTCTTTTTTTTTTTTTTTTTCTTTTCACTGTTGCCTTTCTGACTTTGCCCCTGCAAGTTTTCGCTATTTCTTGGGATGCTTCTTTGGTGACTTGCCCATTTTTCCATTGCCTGCATGCTTTCCTTCTGTGTTTGAAGTATCCTAAAATATCCAGTCACATCAGTTTCTTGCAATTCCTAATATAATATAGCTTAGAAGAAAGGTTGGTCTATAAAGGGGCCTAAGGAAAATGCTGGAGAAGACCCAGAACAGGCTGAGTAGGGTTAAACAGACTGGAATGAGTTACCAGAGAACTGATAACAAATCCAAAGGATGTTGCAATGGGTAAGCCAGCTGTTAAGAAGCCATAGGAGGCCATATGTAAAGGGACACAAATGAGGTTCAATTATAAAAAAAAGTAGTACACTCCTTGTAATGGGTTCCAAAGGTGGGTCCTGTTAAAAACACTTAAGACTGCCTCTGCCTTGAAAAGCATCATCACTAAGCAGAGAGTCTATTGTTGAAGTTATGAGCAACAATAAAAATGAAACCAATGATGCTAAGGTGAAGGTGGCTTTAAATGATCTGAAAAAGATTGGATAGCCTGGTGACTTGTACCTTGTTGGGCAAAATCTTGGGAAATGTGTTCAATTCCAATGCAACAGCCATTTGATTTATTTTAATGAGGGATAACTATATTTGGCAAACATATGTAATCATGAATATCCTTAACTTTTTCTTTTTAATTTATGGAACATTTTATGCCAGAGAGAACTTTAAGCAAATAGTTTACAGATTCCAAAACCGTGTTTCACTTTTCTTAGTGA